AGCCTTGTCATGGGAAGAAACGAAACGATTCCACGGTCCCTATCTGATGTAGCTTGGATGAACCAGCCGCTTGTGGGAACAATGTTCTAAATATTTGCTTTACTAAATTCACACAACCAGAAAAACCAATTATGAATTTCCGTCACTGAAGTGAAAACACTCATCAAGAATGGAAACCTTCCGAGTCAGGGATTGTAAACTGTATTTATTGTTTAATAACTATTTAGATTCCGTATAAGTTGTAAACTTGAGATGAGAAATGTCATCAAAAATGACAGATTAACTGATTAGATTATCACACGTCTGCTGTACGAAAATAATTAGCCTAACATTCAGTGGGGTTTAAGATTGAGTGAAAGTCGTAGGCAATGAAGCAAACAGGAAACATACTGTAGTGAATGCTTTTTAATAGTAGACTTTTACTTTACGCAGCAGTTGTCTTTTCGTAAGGTGCTGAAAGTTAGATTAGACTGTTTCACCTGACGGAAAAAGCCCCTTCCATGTGAGAAAGTTATAGCTTCTCCAACGCGTTCCAGGAGTAAATTGACCTATAATTTTAATCACAGCTACAGACTAGAATCACTACTTTATCTTCCATTAACTTCTGTAGAGGAGCTTCATACTAGACAATTCCGTAATGAACACGGAAGAAACATCTGAGTTTTCTATTTTGATGAGCGTGTCTACACATATTCACTAACCATTATCTTGTCCCAACAAGTTCCAGTTTCCTCAGGACGTATGATTTCTGTTTGCCGTCCAATACGCCATAAATCCGAGATGTAACCGAATTTGTGACGCCACACATCCACGAACCAGCCGAAAAGAAGACAGTTCCTGGATTTCATTCCTCGATCTTTTCCGAATTCGCCTATGGGGTCGACATTTCATGTCTCCGGAGGGGTTGCCGACAGATTTTATCACTTTTGGAATATCCTCAATAAGTGGGATTTAAGAGACAATATTATCTGGTTTAGGCCTTGGGTAGGAAGGGTATGCGCTTTCACTCATAAAGATCAAGTCGAACCAAACATTGGAGGTAAAAGGCCACACATTGGTTTTGGTCTGTAAATACACACAAAAATACAAGTGCTGCACTTTGGTTTAGCTGACCGTCGGCCGGGGGTGTATTCCCTGATAAAACCACCGCATAACTGTTGTATCGTTGGGTGGCCGTCTATTGGTTACGCCTGCGCTGAGCCTCTCAGACTACGCGATAGGGAGAAGACAGAGAACTCGGGACATGGTTGTATTGTCAGGACAAAACGTATGGAGCGTCTGCGTAATATGTAGGATGACTAAGTGGCCAAATATGCTCGTTCACCTGTTCGCTCCGTACAGCCAATGGCGGTGTTCCGGCCGTGAACAATCTCAGGCCCACTTCGCTGATCTTATGTTGCTAAGCCGTGTTTGGTGAGAGCCGCCAACTCACCTGCTTTCCGGACGCGTCGTAGCGATGGTGACCTGCGTCACTCTGCTCATGTGCTTTTTTCCTGTCTGGGCCCGTCCTGACAATAACACCAGCCTGAGTCAAGGTAGCTCAGTATGAAGCATAACCAATGTTTATGGTTAAACCGTCTTTACAGTTCGTTGCGGGTTAGCAACGTGAAAACCGGAGGATGTGTAATTCCATAAGTCGGGATCATTAGTAAAAGGATGCAAGTTGGACGGATTTCTCTTATTGAAGATGCGGTATAGCTTTCACAAGGGCTGTTCGGTTTAGCGAAACTGTAAGTTTCGACAGAATTCCGTTATTTTTTCTTGGCATTCAATGCCCATTACTCAGATGTTTAGTTTTTTAACGGTATCGGATGCCATTTTGGGCCCGCGAGTTTTGTAGTATATCACAAGTAGAAGATCAGAATGAAAGCCATCTCCTGATGCCTAACTCAATTTTTCATGAAAAGCATAAAATCTTAAGATTGCAAAGATTAGGAGAAATCCTTAGGTTAGTTGACCAAAATCTTTACAATGTTAATGTGTTGGTAGGTCATATTTATCTTTGTAAGGTTTGGTCTCAAAAGAAACATTCCTCTCCCTATAACGGCTAAAGTTTTGCACCAAAGCCATAACAGTGTTTTCTCACAAACGAAACGTATAATAATTGATTCGTTGTAGCAAAAACCACTTCACTCTAATGTACAGTCCGTTGGTGCATTCACGTAGTGACAGAGCAGCACCTCTGTGGTGGGTGCATTGAGAGTTCATCAACGAGTCAATTTTTTAAGCTAACTTTGGACTGGTCCGGGTATCAGCGGTTCCTACCTCCAACAGACATCCGTACGAAAGATTGCATTAAACTCGCATGGGAAGTAACCTAAACAAAACTATTCAGTTACTCCGTCTCTGGCCTGCATTTCTTTCGCTCGTGCACTTGTGCATTTTTTTAACAGCCACAATTCAGACGTGGGAAAAACTGCGTAAAGCAGCGTATTTAATGATGGTCGGATTCAGTCAGCGTGGTGCACATTCAAAAATGTAAACTGATTTCAGTGTGCGAACTGCTAGATGTAGCACTGTTTACACGGGGCTGATGTAGAATTTAACTTAATGGAGGGAAACACAGTCTGGATAGACCATCTGAACATGCCATTTTTTTTAAACAAACTGTCCAAAGTTGCAGAGTTATGACACGAAATTGTCGATCAGAGACGAGCCCACGGATAGATGCAACATGGTGTATAAAATTAGCGATTATAGAGGGCTTTGTGAATAATCGTAGTTCTGAGGGTTACTTCTCTGTTAATCTGAGAAGCTAACGCGTGTAACACATAATTCCCGTTATTTTCACTTTCGAAGCTGTCTTGTTACCACTTTCTTTAGATCCAAACACTTCCTTATACACTCGGTAGAAATGTGTTATTTATAACTGAATTCAACTGGAACTTTCCGCAAATCTGACGCTGATTTACTACCTTTGACATCCAGTCGGTGGTGGTAGATGATCAGCGGTTGATGAAACAGCAGTAAAAATTCTGTTGGGTCTTCTGTCGAGGTCGGCGAACTCCAGCCGTATCACTGACTGGAATGTGATAGGAAAGTAGTGGCTAAGGACATCACCACCAGCGGCGCAAACCTTCCGAAAATGACGCTGCATTGAAATAAGCTCACTTTCTGCACCATGATGAATATCCAGAACAGAGTACAGCATGTCGTTTTGTAGATCCTAAGACCATCACTTCAACCGTATTCCACACATGCTCTTTTTTCCTGAACTTGCTACAGTTACCCTAAAATTTCAGTTTGCGTTCCCGAGACCGCTGATTTAAATACCATCCAGCTTTCTTCGAAGTTAACATACCGACTTTTCACAAAACCTGCTTAGGTTCATTTTTTGGTTATTTGTGTTAACCCAGGACTCCAAATTTATTGTGTAAGATTTTCTCTGGTTGTCGATACCTCTCGTCCAGAGTGAGATAGATCACTCGTGAGCCCAAAGCATGTAGTACATGTTCGCATACTTTGAACATTTTCCTGACAGTATGGACGAGGCCTCCGGGAGTAGAGTGTTCAAGTGGTTCTGCCTAAAGTTAGACATCGGTGTTTGACATAGTCCATTGAGTGTCCAACTATGGCCGCTAAGTATCTTACGAAGCTGGACAGTCATTTTAGTCATGTTAAGTACTCTGTTGCTCCAATAATCAGTAATATTTTGCGCCTGATTATGTACAGGAGATACTCGCCGATAGATAGGTGACAAAGTACTGACCTTTAAAAAACCCACGGGTTGACGAAGTGCCAGTTACCCTGGCGCCGTTGTAGATGGTTAAGGATAAAAACAACCAAATAGTGGATCGGGATGATTGCAGAATGCCTAGAAGTGCAGAATGCCGTGCTTGGTCAAGTAGGCACATGAATTCAGTGAGGATCACGACCACAGTCAAGCATGGTTTATGGACCTAACCCAAATCTAGCACTCTCGCAACAGGTTTGAGGTGCTTGACCATTTGGCCACGAAACAATATGCCTGTTGCGTCAACGTGCTGCTGTAGTAGTCTTCATCATCTCAGTCACGTACCTCAACAAGCTGGCCGGTAGCTGACAGATTGACATTTGTCGATTCTTTTGAAGAACGACTTGATATTCATGTCCTCACATGCCGTTATGATAGCCCCGGCGGACAAACAGCGGTTAGGTATACCCCTGAGCGGCTGGGCTTACGCAGCTTCAAAGTGAGCAGCAACATAGAGTGACATGCGGTCTCAGTTGACCACTTTCCACGCTCTGCGCATCGACATCTAGTTCAGGCTGTTAAGTAGGTAAGACCTGACTCCCAGTCATTGGAGTCTGCACTGTTTTACTGCATTTTCCTGCTAGTCGTGACTATTTTGGAAACAACAAGACAGTAACACGAGAAGCTACCGGAATCGACTCAGTTCCCATCCTGTTAAGTGTAAAAACGGTCGTTATGACTTAGTTTCTGTGTCAGCTGAAATGGCGGGTCTGTTAACCCTTCCAGTGGACAACTTGATAGGTCCAGTTGTGTGTGCTTGTCTATGTCACAAGAACCACTGAGGTCATCAATTCCCTGCCTTCAGGCTTGAATCTTCCACCCAGTTTAGTGCGAATCGGTTTCCAGTCTACTGAATTAGGTATTCAAAGATTTTTAAAACGAGGAAATTCAGATGAGACAGACATTAAAAGTTTGTTATCCTTGAAAACAATAGACATTACTTAGTTGTAACAAACAGCTACTGCATAAAAGTATGTCATGGGACAGACGAATAAATCGTTGTTTTCTAATCGATTTACCGGTCCGCACCACAAACGCTAGGCCAATTCAGACCTTGACTGATGTACTGCCGTTTGTTCTCCAGTAGGCCAGTCGGGAAGTTGGCCTGGTGCTTCACTTGTCCAGTAGGAAATGCGTGCCCATATGCATACACACACCAATTTTCGTGCCAATAAACAAGTGGGTCTGTCTTATTGGTTAGGCAGATGGGGGAACAGGTAACGGGCACGCATATTTAATCTCCTAGGTGAACAAATTTATATTAAGTGTTGGGGAAAAAGTGCGAGTGCACACACAGGCATCATTACGAAGCTTTTGTAGGACCTTCAACGAAAGTTGATCTGGGATTGAGAAGAATTGCAGTTGGGACAGCAGACTCAGTGAAGTGATACAATGTCTGCCGGGCCTGGTGGTCCAGTATGGACCCGTAAAATGCGCACACTATTTCGCCGACTAGATGCACAAGGACATGGGTACCTGATGGTGGATGACCTGCTTGAGGTGGCCACTCATATATTTGGAGTTTATCCGAAAATGGAGGCATACAAGAATGATTATGTTGTACGAACTCTTGTCTATCTGTGGTATCAAGTGATGTGCATCCACGTAGACCGGCACGTAGCCACGATGACAAATGTCAACGAGGCTACCTTTGTGGACAATATGTTGAAAGCCACCAGTGGTCCGTTTAAAGAGCAATTTAGCGAGAATTTCGTGGATCCGCTTTTTGATGCGATGGATCAAGATGATGACAAGATGATCACCGCACCGGAATATACGACACTAATGGTCGCTCTTAAGGCAACCCAGCGGGACTCGGAAGTGTTATTCAAACAAAATGCAGATGGGAATAAGCTTTCAAAAAGTCGCTTCGAAGAGGTGATGCGCGATTATTTCTTCGGAGATGATTCGAAGAGCAAATGTAACAAACTATGGGGGCCTTTGTTAGAATACAAACGTGCTGAGGACTTTGGTACACTCGACTGTGGACCTGTTTGGGAGGGCAAAATGCGTACGATGTTTCGTAGGCTCGATGTGGGTGAAAGTATGCGGCTGCGGTGTCATGATCTATTGCATATCGGACAGTTCCTCATTCAACGTGGCCATTTGGATAAAAAGAAGGCGGACTCCGTTTTGCGATACATGATGCACATTTGGGTGAAATATCTGGCAGTCGACAAAGATGGTAAGTAATTTACACCTGACAGCAGTGTTTTTCACTCCAGTCTCCCAAAGTGTCTGATGGACTAGAAATTGGACTGTGTTTAGGCTTACGGAAATTGAGCTTATCATCAATGCTGATAATAGCATAATTGTTGAAACCTGGAACTAATTTGGCTAATATGAACGTGAGGCTAGAAATAAAGTCCACAGGAACTACTCACATACATGAAATTCAGTTTAGAAAACAAGCCGGTATAAATTTACGATTTGATTTTGTCTGGACCACAGCATGCAAATGGCTGTATCATGAATCACAAGTTTCCTCACACCAACGGGATTTTGGACTTGGCAGTTCACCCACGCTTCAGAGCCAGCGATTGGTATGGGCTAGTGTAATGACGCTGAACGGCTTTGTTACACAACCCAGGAATAATCACTCGCTCTTTATTGCAACAGGTTAACCGGTCGATCATAGGGAACAGAAAAGTAGACATAATTCAAGAAATACACTCATTTGCAAATCAATTTGGTTTTCACGAGAGACTCAACTGAATCTCTCGTTTATGATAATTCACTTCTCTCGTGTTCTGAATCATCTCATCTCTGACCATAGCCGGTTTATCTTTTCAGTTCAAAGGACCGTCCTCTCGTCAATCCTTCACCAAAGATCTTACCGAAAGATATCTAACCTAACCTAACGGGACCGGAATAGTTATTTTGGTTAAAAAATCGCATAGATGCAAAGCATCTCCTTAGGTTGTGTTTGACAAATTACCTTTAGGCTGTTACAGTGTGTTGATTAAGATTTCCACTCTATAGCAAAAGGTGTCCTATTAGGAAAGCATCAGATTTCCCCAAGATGCAACGCATAAAAAAATACAACCATTGAGTTCACTCCTAGTCTCTGTGGCGTCTGCCCTATCATTGTTTTAGTCGAGTGATTTATCCAAGCACCCCCTGCCAACCGGATTTTTGTGAAGTGAATTTTGATAAGGGAAAGTTGTATGCTTTTAGCGTGCCTCTCACCTTATTGTTGCGGTCAAAGTAGGCAGCTTTGGCAGATTCACCTCAAAACCTTCCGATAACTAGCATGATAACTAATCAGTGCCTCCGTCAAGGAGTTGTGAGGTTTTGCAATTGTACTCCAGAAATATACTAAAAAGTGAAATCATGAATTTTACGACTCACGATTGAAATTAGTAGCGCCCAAACGACTGGGTAAAATTCGAGGCTCACAGAACAAGCGTCATAGGGGGAAAAGTTCCGGTTGAAGTGCACTTTATCTCATCTGCAGAAGATGACAGCATCGATGAATTAAAAGTAAGACAAAAAGTCTGCACGACTCATGAAAGGTGAAAACGAGGACAACCAAATCGTCGCCTTTAGTGGAATTCGCGCACTCACGAGAATTCCTACTATTTTTTACATCCTGTTCACTTGATAGTGGGAATCTCTTACGCAGATTTCCCACCGATCAGATGCGAGACACGTGCGTTCTGTTGTTTCTAAATGTGACCGAATTTCATTGTACACTTTATCGACTGGTAGTGTGTAAGCGAAACCAGTGACAGATTCTGGATTTCGTATTCGGGGCTTTCTTCAGCCAACACGACGATGCGATGTCACTATTATGGACTATAGGCCTGATGGCTTGGTAACTTGGCCTTGGTTGTTGCTTAACATTACTGCCTTCTCACGCACCTGCGTAGGAATTATTAGAATGTTCACCAGCGAAGTATCCGTCAGCGACTTAGCGTTGTCCGCTTTACTGGCTAGGCAAGTCGGTCTATCTGTGAACGTACTGCCAATCTGTGTGACTCGTTCTGAGAGAAAAACAACACGACCGGTGTGTGCAGCTGTGGACGAGTATGACAGGTACGACCCATAAATACCGAGTAAGTTTACGAGCCATACGCGTATAATTGGCAAGGCTATCTACTAGAGCGATCTGTATGGGGGAAAATGAACACAGTGAAAAACACAATCACAAATATTTTGGTCAAGGTAGGCGCTGAAGAGCCGCGTACCAAAGATGATGGCAGAAGTGTAGTTTTGATGGCAGTAGAAAAGTGGATGTCCGGCAGTGTACCGTTACCGGACGAGTGTGCAAGCGATTTAAGCTTAGTTGACTGATAGGTTAGGTAGTTACCGAAATGATTTCTTTTGCTTGGGACTTGTGAACTCTTGAATGCGGTCCAATAGTAAATAGGTTTTGTGAGATCAGAACACCTTTGGCAAGTATGACACAGTCTAGTAGTGTCCGTTCCTGTTTCTAACAGGGCTGCGTGCTTTGTATAATTTCGACTGGAACTGTTGCTCATGAGCCATAGCTAAACGGAAGTCGGCCGTGGATCATTTTTCCAAAAAGGAAACGCAAGTGTGATATAGGTTTTGTACAGATGGTGCAGATTAACCACATTCACTGTAAAGCTAGATGCATGCCTCTGAGTATTTTAGTAGGTGGATCTGAAGAATTTTATCTCCAGGACGGATCAACTGGGGATGTTGTCCTAAGCGTTTAGCACAGATTCATTTTTTACTTAATCAACGTTCGGAAATGTGACAGGATTAAAATTCCTGAATGACTGGTGGCATTTACCGGATGTATGTGCGTTTTCTATCTTATTCCCTGTGTTGTTAATGGCACCAGCTACTTGCAAATCGTATCACACTCGGCTCCGCAAAAACCGCCTGTAGCTCACCAGTCATGTGTAGACGTCCACTAGTTTGACTACTGTTGATCGGTAGACTGGATGCTAAGAATGGTTGCGGCGTATGGTAAGAAGTGGCAGATAGTTTGCTAACCAAAACGATATCAAAATAAGACCAACACTAACAGTGCACATGATGACCGTGAATGTTACGTTCCCTGTATCACCAAGTTCACATCCAGAATAAGAACAATGCAAATGTTATATTTCATAATGACAGTACTGGATTTAGGCTGCTATTTCAACAGACGAAACGGCCCGACGTTTCGATCACAAGTGGTGACTCTTTTAAACAGATGAGGATTGTTCGTCTCCTCAAAGCGCTATTGAACCACAGGTTCGACGAACAGTGTTTGTAAGATTGACCATAGTGACTGCGGGTGTGTCTACATAGTGCAAACCATTAAATAGCTGAAGGTTCGGGTCATCGAACCAAGACAGCATTCTCGTTCGGGTCTGAGATACTAGGACGAGACGCAGCTCTTGTACCCGATTCATTAGTCGTGAGTCATTCTATTAGTCCTGATAGTATACACATATTACTACGAAGTTTCGGGGTGATGTGCAGAGGCCACGACCATCCACAAATCCTCTCTAGCATCAACCAGTCAGGTAACAGCGTGTTTTCCGCAATCTGTTTCTGTCTGCACCACACGAATGACGGCCAGTTTCGTAACCTGGTAACGCGCAGTGAGGTCCAAAATGTCCGTTCAGTGCTGGCCACGCAATACAAGCACACACAAAAAAAACCCATGCACGCACATAACATTCACGATTTAATTCACACTAATCACAACTCGCATGAAATCACACCACCTGGCACTGTTTAGGTGTTTGAATCCCGGTCATTTGTTTCTTAAAAGTGACCACTCTCAGAGTGTTTTATTCAATAAAATCGACTTGTGAATTCTAGTATTTTCCCATAAAGACTGTTGCCTAAAGGTGTTGTGAAATCTAACTCCGGAAATCGTTGTTCTCTCTAACTTTGTGAGTGTAGATGTCGTTGATGTTAGATCATAAGCAAAGTCCTTTTCTTTCATACATCACAACCGAATGTATTTTGAGTACGATTCGAGGCAGTATACTGAAATGCATAGATAAACACTACGTTTGTTGTCTTGGACGATCTGGGTTTGAACCCTGTACCAAGGGAGGGGGTAAAACATGGGAAACAAGAACCTAAACTTCCGAAACCTGTCAGAGACATTTGTTGCGAAACAATGTTCGCTACATCGTTAGAGTTCCTTGGTCGAACACTGTAGCCTGCCGGATATCTTAGGTAACTCACCAATTCCTGTGTGAAGTTTGTTGAAGCAAAGTTGGTGCCACCAGTATTTTCCGATGGGTTTACATGTACGGAAGCAGTGAGGTTATACGGATTGCAGGAGAAAATAAATCTGCTGTCGAAAATTTCACAGCATGTAAGTTGACACAGCAACCGTATGAGAATTTTCAAAAAAGGAATTACCGCCCCATAGGCTCTTCCCAAGTGTTAAACCACGTTCGGTACTCTGAACAGATATCATACAAGTGGGACACCCCCATTGGGTGTCGGTTATTGTAATGTCTGAATGTTTCAGCATGCTGCCACATATTACACAACTGATTCTGGTCTTTATATTTCCGGTCTTTAGGGAGATGGCGTGCTGCATCGCCACAGGTGGGATATACGCGTATCCTGGACCGTGATCATTCAGTGAAGTGGTTTGTTTTCGTTGACTTCTGAGATGCGTATGCGCCATACACCATTTGTTAGTCTTTAAAACAATGCATTAGTTCCCTGAGGTAGTGAAAATTCTTTATAGGCCGAATCTTAGAAACTTGGTTACTGCAGCATAACTGCCGTATCCTAAAAATAACTATCCCTGGTCTGTCGGCATTACTACAGGTTAATAATAGCTACACAATCGACTCCTTGCAACGGTTCTGTAAGCCATTGCTCTGAACGAGAACCATGTACAAATAGATGAGGAGGATGAAATACTGTGATAAGAAAAACCTATGTAACTTGGGCTGTCTGTAAAGATTTACCTTTTTCATAGTAGTGATTAAGTGTAGTTTTTAGGTGGATGACTGACCGGAATAGGTTCAGATAAATGGACCTGGTCTATTTGGCGAAAATCAACCGAACTCTCATAGGATATGGGTCATCGATTGACATCTAAATGTTGGTTAAGCTGCCTCTGTCAATCGTCTTGATTGATTGATCTAGTCGTCACACACATCATGTTTGTGTTGTCACGATTATTTGTAGTCAGCATGGAGTCACAACCCGAATTAAAATCGCCGTACTTGTACTGGCACGTTTGAT